CACCTCCTGTGGATATCCGTGTCAGTAGCTCATTTAACATCATATTGGGAAATGAGGCTAAACGGTTCCAAGGAAGACGTGCGGTAGTGCATTTGTTTTGCAACAGTAGCCTGTCCCCCCTCCTCCCCCAGAGTTGGCCGGCGGTGCGCGATGTCCATTTGAGCCTCAGCCGGCGGTGCCAGCCCAGGTCGGGCAGTGTGGGAGTTTGCTGCGGAGATGCCACTGTAAATAGCCACTGCACGGACAAACTTGCCTGCGACAGCAGTGTCGTGTGGAGTGGCTGGCCGCAAGCCCACGTCCAGGCTGTGTGCTCTGCTCCTTGAAATTGTATTAGCTAGAAAAGGTAGAATTTTTAAAATACGGTTTGACTTTTGTACTGAAACCTTTGTTATGATTTGTGTTGTTATGGCTTTGAAGCCGTAATCATGCCTGCAGCCCTGTTGGCAATGTGATCTGCAAAAACTCACCTTGCATCCTATCAGACACAATTCACTGTGTAATCTTGTAGTCCAGACCAGACAATTTCAAGTGTGGCCACATGTGAAATTAATGTGTGACCATAACATGAAAGTGTCTTTCTGTTGTATTTTGGATTTATCTAAGGAAACCATGAACAACAACTTCTCCAAAAAAAATTGTTTTGCAACTGTGATGGCAAATCTTAGTTTCTGGAAAGCCCCATTCAGACCTGTCACAGCCATCACTCTGTCTCATCTCAAGCCTTTAAATTTAACTGCATGCTGAAAAAATAATGGATGTTGGAGATGGTGTTAATTTCTAAGTTGCTGATAGCTTTTGGATTTGATTGTAAACCTGGACTAAGGGCTCAAACACAACATTAAGCTTTTATTAACATTGATATGGGTTTTTGCTGTCAGGAAGAAAGGTGTGCAGTTTGAAAGAAAAATTTGGCTCTGGCAGCTGGGCATTTTGCTGGGTGTTAAAATCATAGAAAAACAGACTACTTCAGAAAAACATGTATGGATTAAAAATAGATGTGTAGGTCATTAACTGTCAAAGTATGGCTGACAGTGGAGTTCTATATAGCATGATGTTCTAGAAAACAGAAAGCAAGCTTCTGTATTTGAAGCTTTTGGCTTGCATGCAGCATTTTTGCATTTTCAGGGCTGCAAATAATATTGACTGAGTTGACTGGACGTGGTCTTCCCTGGAGAAGCAGTATAAGATCTGTCCTTCGTAAGTGGCAGCCTCCTTCTAGTCAGGCCCATCAGCAATTCAGTAGGTGTGCTCTTCCACATCTGTCTCCCTCCTGCACACGTGTACACACGTGCACACCCACTCATTCTTAATGCGTTCTTTCAAGAAGTTCCACAACTCGTGGGAAGCCAACTGCATGATTTTAATACCAAACACAAACGCCTTTGTCTGTCCACTTCTCCAGCATGAAGGTGTGTAATTAATTTGCAGGTCTCACCGTTCTCTGCATACAGAAAGAGATGGTCAGGCACATTTGAACAAAGACATGAAGAGTCACTGTACCCCTCTCTACCATGCTCCAAAAACATACATTCCCCCCATAGTGCCCTTGGTGGTTTGAAATTTTTCAAAAGTCTGGAATATAACACCAGGACTTGCATTTTACTCAGGGAAATCCAGGTTGCATCCCAACTGAGCTGAGGGGTGAAAGGGTAGATGAGTGCAGCTTCCCTTGTCTGTGCATCCAGGTTTCTTTTCCATGGGCTTCAGGATATATGTCATCCCTATATTAAACATTCACCTGAAACATACCCTGGGAAAGTGAGCTTACATACAGTTAGTATGGATGTAGCACCTATGTCTTACTCAGGTCACTAAGACAAAGTATTAGTGAGGAAGTAGTAAGGGTGTCAGACATAAACCTTTAGGTTTCAGTGTGAATCTGGTCATAGGGTTCAAAAGTAAGACCAACCCAATACCTATGAACTTCAGCTTTGGGGGAGGCAATGATTTTGGGGTTATTTTGAACAAAAGGTCTAGTCTAGATAGTTGGTCATTAACTGACTGTTAATATGAGATCTTACAAAAACATCTTTCCATTTGTCTTGAGTCTGACCCAAAATCAGAAGATTTGGGGTATGACTTTATTCTCTGTGAGGTTTTGGCTTCACTTTTTCGCTGGTAGAGCAAGTCCCACTCAGGTCTCTCAGATCACTTTACAACAGCCATTCGGAGGAGATAATGTAATTCTTGTTCTCATCTGAGAGTCTAGAGAACTGAGACAGAGCTCAAATGGCGTATCCAAAATACAGAGTAAATTAGCATAGGAAATGAGACAGGGAAACAACTTATTTGCTTCAGTCAAAGGATTAAATTGCTTTTCCCTAACTCACTGGAACTGTTAAGAAATTCATGGGCCATTCCTCTTGCAATAACTTGAAAAGGGCAGGCATGCCTTTTATGATTCTTTCTGATGTAACTGGTATTAAATATGCATTGTAGCTCAGTTACCTTAGATAACTGAGCATAAATTCATCCATCTTCCACTTGAAATTCTTTTCCCAAATGTAGCAGCTGAATATTCTTTCTTTTGTTTTCTATTTTTTGGATGGGTTGGAGGTTTTTTGCTTTTGTTTTTAGAGAAGAATCTTGTTAGCATTCCTTAGAAACTCATTAAAATGCTTCCCTTTTGGCTTATTCTCCTAATTTATTAATACCACAAATAACTTTTCTTTGGTGACCCACTTTCATAGGTATCTGAACATCTAGCAAAATTGTAACTCATCAGGAAGGCAGTGTAGACTAATAAATAGCATCTCCAGACAGGGAGGAAAACCAAGACACTTTTTGCTTTACCACACAGAGTTCTACACACCACATGTGCAAAAAATACCACTCTATTCCCCAGCTCACTCAGCACCCTTAGTACAAAAGAATGTACTTTATTGATTGCACAATTGATTTAAAGGTCAGAATGCAGGACTGCATCTATACTGCCTGGATTCACTTTTCACCCTACATCCACAGTAAAGAAACTGTTCTTTGCATAAATATAAATAGAAATATTAGTCTGTGTTAGTGTTCAAGCAAATAGATTTTCTCTTCTAGCTCCCAGGGCAACCTCCCAACACTATGCTGTTATCAAAGCCATTGGGATTTGACTAAGATACTGGTTTTTTATTGTATTATCTTACCTCTTTATGAAAAATACAATTTGCATAGGAAAAAAGAGGATACTTCTGATTTAACGAACATGATGATCAACAAGACACTGGAAATGGTAGATCTATCCAGCCACTAACTCAGACAGAGGTCAGCTGGCATAGAAGAATACACTCATTTTCATACTCATTTCAAAAGATAGTTTGTTTTTCTGGGAGCTGAAACTATACAGACAGACTTATCTCAAGTAGTGATTAATTAACCTGTATCCTGTAGACACTCCAATACTGGTCACATTTTGAAGACAGTCTGCTTTGAGAGTGTAGTCTGTGGTTTGCCTTAGCCCAAGAATACTCAGCATTGCAGCCTTCTCTCCAAAGTCTTCTGTACAGCAGCCCCCAACAGGAGAGCATAAGGCTCATTTGGTGACTTCTGATGAAGCTTTGTTTTCCTTTTCAGTAAGTTTGGACGTCTGTGTAAGTGTAAGAGCATTATGGTGGCGTTTAAAGGAGTCTGGACTCAACCCTTCTGGAAAGCCGTTTCGGCCGAATTCCTGGCGATGCTTATTTTTGTCCTCCTCAGCCTTGGCTCCACAATCAACTGGGGTGGAGCAGAGAAGCCCCTGCCTGTAGACATGGTTCTTATCTCCCTCTGCTTTGGACTCAGTATTGCAACCATGGTGCAGTGCTTTGGACACATCAGTGGAGGCCACATTAACCCTGCTGTGACCGTGGCAATGGTCTGCACAAAGAAGATCAGCCTCGCCAAGTCTGTCTTCTACATTCTTGCCCAGTGCCTGGGAGCCATCGTGGGTGCAGGCATCCTTTACCTTGTCACACCACCAAGCGTGGTAGGAGGTCTGGGAGTCACTGCGGTAATCACTTCTCCTCCGGCTCTTGAAGTAGTCTAGCATAGAGCCTAAGAAAATATAATCAGTGTCGCGCAGAATAAAGAGAGCTCAAGTAGAGATTTTAAGAGCTTGCTGGTTTATTTACAGCATCTAGACAGGGCTTAAAGCTCTCCTTAGGATGGGTTTATGCAGTATAATATCTGTAGCTGTTCTTTTTATAGAAGTTCTCTTTCCTAGAACTTCCCCAAATCTGATGACAGCAGGTAATGCTAATTTACATACAAAATTTAAATAATATATGCATGAAATGCCTTTTTATATGAGCTGGGGAGGGGGGAAAATTAATTCCATGCCATTATGATGGGGATTGAAAAAACATCAATTTAAAATGACATACTTTTGAAATAGATTGTGGCTTAGATTTCAGCTTTGTTCTAAACTCATAAGGAATGCCATCAGTTAGCCCTGTTGCAGGACTTATTAAAAATGCACTTGAGCCGCACACTGCTTAATTTTTAATTGAAATTTAAATTAATTAAGTCAGGGCTAATTAATGAATTTATAATTGAATAGTAAATTACAGTGCTCCCAAGAAAAAAAAATGGTGAAAGGGAAGTGCAGCATTTGCAAATCCCTGTGTAAAAATAAACTATACTTCTGCAGTCTAACTCTGAAGTTCTTGTTGGATGTTACTGTTAATCCTTCTCTTCTCAGTCCAGCAGTGACTTTTTCATGGCATTCAAAATAAAGAAAGCATTTTAAAGTTAAGAAAAAGGGAGAAAAGTGGAGAGGGGGAATCTGTACCTCTAAATGTTTAGCATTGTCTTTCACTCTGTAACATTTAGAAATATGTTAATTGAAATACAGTTAATATATGGAATGGCTTTCTGATTTATAAAATCTTCTTCATTTCTGGTGTTTCTTTCCCTTTCAGGTACACGGAGATCTTTCCGCAGGGCATGGACTCCTGGTGGAGTTGATAATTACATTCCAGCTGGTTTTTACTATTTTTGCTAGCTGTGATTCGAAACGAAGTGATGTCACAGGTTCAGTAGCATTAGCAATTGGATTTTCTGTTGCAATTGGACATTTATTTGCTGTAAGTTAATGATTTCTCTCTGAAAAATAGATCCCTTTACCCTTTATGACTACTTCAGAAGTAAATGGAAACTTCTGTGACCTTTAGAGCTGTTATAGCTATATAGCTGTTGTATTCTTTACAGATCCAAGCCAAAACCCTTTGGAGTCTCAGGAGTGTCCCCTTGGGTAGGGTGTTGTGCCAGAACTTTTCTGGTAGTTTATGTGATGAACCTTGTTAACCTTTTTGTTAAGACTTGGGAGAGTGATGATATCCTCTGTCAAGATGAGAAGCCATACTAAACCAAGGTGTCCCATAGAAACTGAATCACTACTTCCAAGACTTTAGTAAGAGGTAACGTTTTCTCTCTGCTTTAGATCAATTACACCGGTGCCAGTATGAACCCTGCTCGATCATTTGGACCTGCTGTCATCATGGGCAGATGGGAAAACCAATGGGTAACTCCTCTTTCATGCTTCCTTCACCATAGTGACAAATAGCAATGAGATTTTTCATACATCATATATATATGATATATCTATGGTATATCCCATAGAGACCATCAGGCAGTGACCTTACCCAAGCTTAGGTATCATCATGCTCCTCACCTAGCACTGCAGTGCAGTATGCAGTGTGTTGGAATAGCATCTTACTATTCAGGGGCCATTTTTTGGAGGTAGTAGCTGGAGTAGAAAGGAAATTGTATGAAAAGTTCAAACAAAACAAAAAAAAAGCAATCCAGCGAGACTGAAAGAGTTGAACTGCTGGAAAGAAAAATCCTCCAAGGCAGATTGCAAATGCCGCTGGTAATGCTGGTGAGAAGTTATGGAAGTAATTCTGTCGACTTCACATTTCATCTGGTTCTGCAGCAAACTGGGGCAGATGTATGAAATGAGAGCAGGGACCCTCTGTGATCTGGTTCTCAGGGGAGAACCTGCCTTGGCAAATGCCCACAGTGAGAGATGAAGAGATTTCAGTCTGGTCTTTGCAGACCAGACCAGATGTTACCTGCTTCAGTTTGAAAGCATCAGCTTAACTAGGAGCAGTTGCACAGGAAGCAGTGTGATAAACAGATTGTGAAAGATGCAGTCATTTTCTGTAGCATCCCACTAACCAGCTTATTGAAAACCATTTCACATTTCATAGGGGAGAGATGGATTGCATCTCAGCCTCACCTCATTATAGACAGGTAAAGTACTCCTAGGGACACTTTCAATGCTAACCTGAAGAGCTGCATATTACAGTGCATATAAGGATTTTCTTGATTTTTAAAGTATGAAGCCCACATCGCTCCCACTGCAGCTAATAACAGAAATAGCATTGTCTTCAGGCCCTAAGGCTCCAATTCTGCAAACACGATACCATGTGTAACTTTGTTCCCAAGAGTTATCCTATTGAGGCAGATTTACCCAGTTATCAGTGAATGGCTTGTTCATATGAAAAACTGCTGTAGTTTTTCACAAGATTAATTATCCATACTCCAAGGAAGCCTGTAATTTATAACTAAAGCTATAAACAATAAACAAATGTACCATGGAGAAACTTGCAGGAGAAGCTTAGTTACTGTCCTGGTCACTTGGAAAGACAGGTTTTTCTCCTCCATAGGAATGACATTGGCATGCCATTGACAGAAGCCTGTGGGCTTTGGCACCTACTAATGTTACTGAACTGCTGCATGCCATGTTGAAATAGATAGGTACCTACAAAGTTGTGTTATGTTGGTTGTATTTGCTTATTCAAATTAGATTGACAGGTAGCTGACTGCCTGTTGTATTCTGTAGGGTTAGAAACTGAATTTGGATTAATTTGGAAACATGAGTCTGAAATCCTGAAGTAGAACCGTTTGTGTATACACTAGGAAGGGTTTTGTTTCCTTGAAAGTTCATTGTCATCTTGGTTGAAAATGCAGAAAGAAAATTTACTCTTCTACGTCAGTGTTTATTTTGTGTGTCTTTTTGCAAACAGTGCATATATGTGGTCTACAGCTGGCAGTGAGTAATGTAAAGTTAGAGGCAGTCTCTTGTAAAGAGATGGATCAATAAAACTTGACAAAATTATTTCTCTTTGAAGATTTAGGCCTGCTTCTCAATCTCGTTACCCTTGCTAGTTTAAAAGCAAAGTTGTGCCAGAGCACCTATATGGTGTATGTGATTACAGAGCTGTATTTGACCTAGGTGACTCCACCAGGATCTGTGGCCTTTTTTGTCTCAAGAAAACCTTATAGGTGTGTTGGATTCAAATGAAGAGGATGAACAACCAGTATCTTTGTCTTATTGAACAATGCATAAGGAAATAAATTAAATCTCCCATAAAGAGGGGGAAAAAGGCTGTCTTCTATCAACAGAAGGTAGGGCAGCCAGAGAGAATGCCCATGCATCTGTCCTTGCGAGGTGTCCATAGCTTCACTCCTCCTCATCCAGTCTGCCCCGAAGCATTGGTAACCAGACATGTAGACTGAAATCTTTTTCAGGCATCAGGGAAGTAGTAAATGTACCTCACTGCCTATGTCAGCATAGGCTCCTCTGCTTGGTGGGGTCCACTGCCTGCTGATGCCCTAAACACTGACACGATAGGAGTTTTTAGAGAAAGTCCACACACAAGGCTTCGAAGTCATTTATATGACTGAATACAGGGTGACTAGGGAGTATTTCTGAGAGGGGTGAAATAGTTGTGAGAGACTGGGAGGAGGCAGAAAGGAAAAGAGAAAAAGTACCTAAGACTAGTGCCATTAACAAGAGACTGCCTTTTGACCGACTTCATATGTGATTTTAGAGCAGTCTTTTATGTTGAGCATCGAGTCACCATCTGTGAAACCTATGGTAGTTACACTTTTCTGCCTCGTGAACTGGTATGATGGCAGATATCATTCTGGTGCATGAAAGCCAGGGGGTGATGTGACCATGCATTTCTGCATAGTTGGTTTTAATAATGGACCAGAGCATTTTGCAGAAACTTTTCTGAATTAAGTCTATTACTGACATGCTTTTTTTCCTCTGAGACCCTGGCTTCTTTATTTGCTCTAGAGCTTAATGCTTGGGATTTTTTCCGCCTCTTTTTTGCAGGTATATTGGGTGGGACCAATAATAGGAGCAGTCCTTGCTGGTGCTCTTTATGAGTATGTCTATTGCCCAGATGTTGAACTCAAGCGCCGTTTCAAAGATGTCTTCGGTAAGGCTAGCCAGCCTTCCAAAGGGAAATACATCGAGGTGGATGATAACAGGAGCCATGTAGAGACCGATGACCTGATCCTGAAGCCTGGCATAGTTCATGTGATTGATATTGACAGGGGTGAGGACAAGAAGGGAAGAGATCCATCCAGCGAGGTGTTGTCTTCTGTATGACTAGCAAGAAGCACTGAAAGCAGAGAGAGGCCTGCTAGCACGTCCACAGATATCCTTCCTATTAAAGAAACAGATCTCCTTTAGACTGAGCATCTGCCATCTCTTAAAAAGTATGGTGTAGGCAGATGCATGGAATGGTGTCATCAAACCATACGCCTGCTCAGTCAGAAGATTAGGACTTTGCTATAATTAGGATCCCCCATCTATTATTCCAAATTAAGCCTTGTTCCTAGTATTTTCCTTTCCTTCTTTCTGGAGCAACCCCAAAGTCAAAAAAAGAGATGAAAGCATTCTCCTTTAATAAATCAGTCAATAATGAGATAAAGATAGAGATGTTTAACATTCAGATTGACAGTTAAGACATATCAGGAAATGCCTATAGACATGAAGACCTACTTATCAGATTGTTCTTCTGACACTTAATTGGCTGTTGTCAGCTCCGATTATAACATCTTACCCATTAAACGTTTTCTGCGAGGTTCAGGGACAGCACCAGCACTATTTAAGAGTTTTATCCACAGACAAGCCAGGGAGTATTGTTTCCACTCATGTACATGACTATTGCATTGCAAACTGCCTCCGAAAAAAGGATACTTTAATAGGTTTTTTTTTTTAAAATTCTATCAACCCATCAAATTTCACTCATGTGATTTGCCATATAAATACATTTTCTTCATCCCCAAGAGTAAATATGCAGAAATGGAATGTTGAAGTGTATGGTAATAAGGCTGCAAAGCATTTGACTGTACTTCATACTCCCTCTTGTCATTGTCTGGTGAAACATTCTCCTGGGGTTTGACTATTGACCATTTAGTGTTAGCAGACTCTCAAGGTCATGCAAAGAATATAAAGGCTTTCCTGTTACTTAATAACTCAAATAAGAGATATCAGAAGAAAAGAAGGCATATCTGTTTTCAGTGCACTTGTTCGAATACACATTTCTGTGCTAATTTATGTAAACTAAAGGTTTAAATTACTTAACTATTTTCTTACAAGATGGTTGGAGATATGGGGGGTTTAATTTATTAGTAATGTAGATGGGTTTTAACTTTTAACTGTATTGAGACACTGATTGGGAAATATTTTTTATAACAGATGATAAAAATATGACTGCTTCTGGCTTTTTGTTGTAACTGATGCCTAACTATTTGAACGGGATCTGTGCTTGCTCCAGTGTTCCTATAGTCTTAATTACACCTCTGGCAAAGGTTTCTTTATCTGTTGTTAGGAAAAGATGCCAGTGCTTGCAGGTTTTGTTAGAGGGAAAAGGACATGAAATATGTTCAGTAAACAGTCTTTCCCTTATAGAAGTATTTTGACAGATACAATCACCCCAGCAGAACATTTCTGTAAAGCTGCTGCTGACTTATTGCCTTTGTTCCTGATCAGTGGCTTTGAGTTTTACAATACACAGCTGCAGAGCAGTCAGGAGCATGGTATTATTACTGTAATTATATAGGTTTTATTTTTAAATTGAAAAGCTACCCCTGCCTATGTAGCAATAAGAGGGGAAAAGAAGTATTAGTCCTGACTGTGGGCTGTAATAGCCTTGTTTGTTCTTTGACATACTCTACATGCAATCTTTATTACAGGGAATTAGATGTTTCTAATGAGATAATAAACCACTGCTACCCTCAAATCTGTGCACTATGATCTAAGGGCAATTCTACTATCCAGCGTGCAGCACTGTATAGTCCCAGAATGTCCCACCATACTCCTTTTCCTAGTTTCACATTTTTCTTGTTTTAAACCCTGTTAGCATAGTGCAAGTTCCTGGCACTGAGTATGAGATTCATGACTCCTTCATGCATTTGCAGTTGGACCATGATGTCTCCCTTATTCCACCCAGACACAGCATGTAGCACACATGGGTGCAGGAGAGGGCTTCCTTGTGTGATCCTGCAACAGTCCCACTCCTGACACATGGGTCCTCCCACCAGACATGCTCCCTGTCATCTCCCTGTTGCAGCGTCACAGCATTGGCTGCCTGTTAAGTCTAGTAAATCAGCTGATATTTGTCCTTAGCTGTGTCTCGACGCATGGTTAGGGACCTGCCATGGACAATGTCAAATCACAGATAAGAACTCCTTCCCACAGCAAGGACTAAGTCTCCTGGGGAAGGGCAACACAGATGTGGGGTTAGATCTCTGCTCAAATGGGTAAATACCATGCTAAATAGATTCAATGAGAAAGATCAAAACTTATTGAGGGAGTTTTGTCTAGGCATTTGTTGTGGCTTTCTTTTATGCATTTTTCAAATGCTGTATTTGTTAAAGGGACGCTTTGGTTAAACCTTTTGCATGGCTTGAACAGGTAAAGAGTAATACACATAGAACTGATGGGTTTTTAAGCAAAGGTTTGCATTTTTGTATTTAAAGACACTCCCTAATTTGTGAATTTTGCATTGTACTGTGTTATTTAAATAAGAAACTGTGATTTGTTTTATGCTTAAGGGTCCTTTTCACAAATGGCTTGATGTCTATTTTCCTTACCCAGCCTGATTCTGCTGCTGAGGCGAGCAGAATGTGAGCATAGCACCAGCCACCTCCATTAGGAGGATATTTTTCCTTGAAACACTCTGTATTAATGCAGTGTGGTAAACACTCAGAACCATTGCCAGGAGAGCTCCTCTTTCGGAGAGTATTGTAGGTAAGATCCTGAGACTTTTGAAAAGATCAAGGAAAAGAAGGGAAGCTAAAATAGAGACCACTAGACAGTAAAGGATGATTCCATGCCATTAGGCACTAGCAGAAAGCAATGTGTGGTAGGCCTGCTACTGCTCCCACAGAATGAGTCTCATGGAGGAGTTTGTCACTGACTATGGTGGAAATGATCCTGAGCTTTTGGGGGGCCTGATGGCTTCTCTCACACACTTGACTGTGTTTTTTTCTAAAATCAGTCTTTCAGCAAGATACTTAATTTTGAAAGAAGATACATTTGTCTTGAGGTTTATGACCCACCCTAAAGCAAATCCTTAGGAGTGACCATCATCACAGATGGTTCTGCCCCACCACAAGACATCACTATTCATATAAGAGAACATCACTCTTCAGCATCCCTTAGGACTTGGTCTTGCTTTGACGCAGGGATATGTGCTCCACTGAGTTATTTTGCAATGGTATCGTCAGTGTACAACAGTCACTTTTGGTAAATAATAGACTAGCATAACCTCTTTATGGATTCAAAATACTTTTGCTTTAGTATTATTTTAAAACATGTACTTTGATACTGTTTGAGTGAGATTTGTGTTCTGAAACCCTGAAGCTCTAAATTACACCTCATAACATAACTTGGCATCCTCTTAAAGCATTTATTGGTTGTGATGGAAAATGTATTTTGTTTATGATGGTGGATGGATGTCAGAAGAAGTCTGCCAGGTCTGTCATCATTCTGGGGTCTTAAAATAAAAGGATGAGTGTCACTCCTCTATGATGCCATGATTGTTTTCAATGCTATATTTGCACTTTAACAAGCACAATAATATTAAATCACTGGATTTCAGAAAAGAAAGGATGGAAGCTAAGGGCGATTCCATTGAGGCACGCAAATACCTTTTAGCTTGTGTGAACTCTGAGGAGTCTATCACCCAAATTCTAACTATTCTCAGGAAAAAAAAAAAAGAAACCCTGCAGCATTTGAGTTGTCATCATAACCCTTCTCCTGTTGAAGTACTTGGGAGGTGTATCTTTCATTCTTTCAGTGGAAGCAGGAGTGAGACTCATCATGCAGTGCTTAGGCTTGTCACATGTATCAGCTTTTCAAAATGTGCTTTATTTCTGATTGGTAGTAATTGCCACAGTATGTGCTTAGAAAGCTAGATGGCCATCAAATTTCTACCTTTCTAGTGCCTGATGGCAGAGCAGCTGCTGCTGTGCTCTACAACATCTTCTCTGTTATGTGTGTAACACATTCAGGATATTATACGCCATCCAATATTTTTAATCTTACTAAAATATGTGAGAATTTACACTGTGAACCTTTCTTTTCAAGGTGAGAGGTGAAAACACCATGCACAATTTTTTTGTATCTCAATTCAGTCTGTGTGTATCTGAGTTTCTCAAGGACTTACTAAATAGACAAGATGTAAATATAGACTGAACCATTTTTTACCCACTTACATGATCATACTGTCACAGTCTGAAATTTAGGACAAATGAGGTAAAGCAAACTGTGTACATGGATTTTTCCACAAGACTGCTTATTGTTTAAATGCTTAGTCACCGTGATATCAGAACTAATGTTATAGGACTTAAAATTTCCATATGTAATATTTGGAATAAACTACTGAAAAATACACTATAAAATTATACATGATTGTCTGGTTCCACATGTATTCTACTGTATCTCACACTACTGTTGCAAATAAACTGTTTGTCAAAAAGAAAAAAAGGCATCATGTGATCACTCGAAACATTTAATGATCCTAAAGCTCAGGACTGAAATAAAAGGAAAAACCTCAAATCCAACCAATAGAATATGTCTAGGAGGAGTATGGAAGTGTGTGGAACTGAGAATGAATGATTTACTGTGGAACAATATTCATCAGTGAGGAGAGGTACTTGTGAAAGGGATTTGATATATTTAAGGAGATGAGTTAAATCCATTAAAGCAAAAATTATACACAAAAATTTTGTGGTGGTTTAAGCCCAACTGACAACTAAGCACCCCCCAGCCATTTGGTCATCTCCATCCCAACCCCATCCCAGTGGAATCAAAAGTAAAACTTGTAGGTTGAGATAAGAACAGTTTAATAAAAGCTTCTAAACATCAGTGTGTTATCAACATTATTCTCATGCTGAATCCAAAACACAGCACTATACCAGCTACTGAGAAGAAATTAACTCTACCCCAGTTTAAACCAGGACATATATATACATCACTGATTTTGCCAGATGGTTTAAAAACTCATAGGACTAGTGGAGGGCTAAGGTTTTGAACATGATAGAAATGATACTGGTGCTTCAGACCCCTTTCACTAAAGCATGGATTGTGAGATCCAGATCCTATGAGGAATTTCAGCAACAGAAATCAGGTCCTTTAACATTTACATTTCTAGTTGTCTAGCTCTTTGGAATGCAAAGTTTATGTTCTATGACATTGATGGAGGTAAATTAGGATCCTGAAAATGATTACTATGAAAACCCATCACCTGGGATAGCACCTAATCAGTAGGAAGGGCTGAGAGCAGGCTCATACCTGAACTTCGCCTCTCGCAGTGCTTCAGCTCTTGCCTTCAGCTTCTTGATATGCAGCCTCCAGATTAACCTCACAAGACGCTTAGGGGAGTGTGTGTCTCTGTGTGTTGTGTATAACTTACTACACACATGATTTGTACCTTAATGAAACAGGATCCAAGGGAATTTAGGCAGAACCAGTAAAATTATTTTGGAGTCACAATCACACAAGATAGGAGCCACCTTGACATTTTGAGACACTCAGAAAATAGGAATATAGGTGTCTGGAAGGTTACAAAGGTAAACATGCAGTGATGGAGCTGTCTGCAGGGTTAAGATGAAGAAGGGTCCTGGGAAGAACAGGAAGCAACACTGCGCAAGGGAGATCTTTGTAGCATACCTCTTACCCAGGGGTTACTGGCATTATGCTATCACTCACAGGATTAAGACATGGTTGTGTTGTATGAGGACATGCATGTAGGTTTGCAGATCACATCTGGGCCATCGAATGGGAGAGGCTTAGCTGTGCTGCAAGAGTGATGTCCTTACTCAAAGCTTCAGTGGCGACACTGGCGTCAGCAGCGACAACTGCAAAGAGCAACTGTGACCCAGTCGTCTACTTAAAAAGAATTTACAGAGTAAATATTGCCAATATCAGCTTTGTTTTAAACCCTCCTTTGGCTTTAGACTCCTTTATCTGTTGCAGACTGTAGTGTATTGCTGCTTTATTTATATCAGACTGATAACTGTTATCTTGGCTATTAATTTCTTTTGACCTTTCTTGCCTCATCAGAAAAACAATCCTTACAAGTACAAAGAC